TGCAACATCTCATAATGTACTTCAAACTGAGTAGCGCATCACTGAGAAACGTCCTGCTCGAGTTGTCCGAGGGATGGAGGTTCGGGTTTAATAACTAGTTCTTCCAATGTTTCATCATCGGACTCGAGCTCGGATTGATATAGTAAAATCTGCGTCATCATTACTGCATTTACAGTGTGTACATTGAATAACGTGGTGATGTGCAATGTTTATTATGAGAAAATTAAAGTGTTTTTTTTTTACCTTTGATGCATGTAAACCTGTTGTAGGAGACAAAATTAGGAACCTTTAAAGGGATAGTTCACTTCAAAAGGAAAATTCTGTCATCATATACTCACCCTCAAGTTGTTTCAAACCTGTATGCAGGGTGGGAAATTAGCATCCGCCACCAGCCAATGGCGGGTACTTTTTCAAAGTGGCGGGTGACTTTGCCTTGTGGTGGGTGGAATGTAAAACATTTTTATTGGTTGTAACGGATTGGACAGCTTTTGTCAAAGAATGCTGTTGCTAAGTAACAATAATGCACTTTTGTCGAGTAACTCATTTGATTGGTTTTCAGCGCTGTGTGTCACGGACACAGCGCTAGTCTGTGCGTCACGGCGCTGAACGGACCGTGACACATATAGCTGAGCTGAGGTACAGACGAAAGGAAAATTATTGGTTAAAAAAAATGGTGTTAAGAGGCCCGCCGCGGAGTCAGCAGTAGCTATGAATGTACAAACTGTTGAGGGCGAAGTAAAGAAAAAGAGAAGGTACTTTTCGAACAAGTGGCGCATTGATGACGAAAGGAAAACGAGGGAATGGTTAGCCTACCTTCCCGACGACCAGTCCATGCACTGTACTTACTGTCGAACCAACGCGTCGTCAGAAAATCCAAAAAATTTGTTAGAGGAACAACTAACCTTTAATTAGAGGCAATAAAAGACCACGAGTCATCCAAGTCTCATATCAAGTGCACTGCCATACAGCTGGCGAAGACGGGACCCCAGGAGCAGAGTGTGGCAATAAAGGCTATCTGCTCTATGCAATCGGCGCAGTTGGATAGAATGAGAATTAAATTTTTTTTGTTTTGTTCATTAAACATGTAGGTAGTGTTGCACGGTGCACCGATACTTCAAAAGTATCGCGATACTCGGAAATTAAAAACTTCACGATACCTAAATTTATTAGTATCGATACTTCTAAGAATGACCGCGTTCCAGATTTGTAAGAGAGTATTGCATGTTGGTGTGTGCAACGCACGCTTCCAGTGCCTCCCTATGGACGACAACGTCTGTGTTTTTCTCCTCATGCGCGTGTGACAGGGCGCGTGAACTGAACGAGCGCAGAGAGAGAGAGAGAGAGAGCGCGAGAGAGCCCCGGTCGCGCGCGCGCGCGCTCTCTCTCTCTGCGTAGCCAAGCGAAAGTATAAACAAGGCTTCACCGTCTCTAAACTAAGCGCTGTCTTGCTCTCTCTCTCTCTCTCTCTCTCTCTCTCTCCCTCGCACATATTAATCAAATTAATTAAAAAAATGTTTTCCTGAATTACCGCTAGGAGTAAATTGTGGTAAAATACGTGCCTTATCTTCTCTGAAAAGCGTTCCGCACATTCAGCTGACATAAACCACACTTTAAATAAACGAAAAAAACTATCCAGTCATGAAATGTTTTCTGTGATGACACAAATCTTGTGGGATGTCCTAACCGCCGGGATAATCACACAACGCGCACACGTCCGATAATGACACATCCAATTCGCGAACTAATGACTCATTTGAACCGATTCGTTTTAATGAATGGTTAAAACAACTGATCTGTCTGAATCGGTGTATAACTAATCGCTAACACTTTGTAATAAGGTTTCATAAATTACATAAAAAGTAGGCTACAGTTTGCTTACTCAAGTGTAAGTTTTTAAAACAAATACACCCCCCCCCCCCCTCCCTGACTACTTTTTTCCACACAGTGCTATCAGGAATCGATAAGAGAATCGTTAAAGAATCGGATCGATAAGCAGAATCGTCAGTGGCATTGATATTGATAAAATCTTATGTTTCTTATGATAACTGAGATAATGCTGCTATATTTATTTATTTTTTTACCTTGAATGTCATTGCTCTAATTTATTTTTTATATTTTCCATTTTTCATATTTTGTTCAAATGGTTAATATAGCCTATATGCTGTTCATATGTTCATTTATTAGGGTGTTATATGATTAGAATGTTGTCCCAGTTTTAAAATAAAGCACAGCAATGATATTTGAGTGTTTCTCCCTTTTCAGGAAAAGTATCGAAAAAGTATCGAAATCGCAATTCTTGACTTGGTATTGGTATCGAAACAATAATTTTGGTATCGTGACAACACTACATGTAGGCCTACAATTACTGTAGAATATAACCAAACACAATTTTACCATGGTCTCGCAGGCTTTTTTTCACATCACTTTTTATTTGCCTATATTAATAAAATATGTATTAATAATAAAAAATAATGTATTGAAGCAATTCAAAATATGCTAGTGCACTTTCTTTTATAAATTTGAATTCCAGAAAAAGTGGCTGGTAAAAAATATAAGTGGCTGGTAAAACTGGGCATCCACCAGCCACAGTGACAGTTAATTTCCCACCCTGCCTGTATGACTTTCTTTCTTCTGCTGAACACAAAGGAAGATATTTTGAAGAATGTCAGTAACCAAACAGTTAACTGGACCCATTGACTTCCATAGTACATTTTTTTTTCCTACTATCGAAGTTTTTGTCAATGGGTCCAGTTAACTGTTTGGTTACTGACATTCTTCAAAATATCTTCCTTTGTGTTCAGCAGAAGAAAGAAAGTCATACAGGTTTGAAACGACTTGAATTTTAATTTTGAAGTGAACTATCCCTTTAAAATAGCATATTAGGGGTACTCTAAGTCTAAGCAATATCACACAACTAATAATTTGTTCCAGTGATATTAATTAATATTAATTAATATTTGATACCACTGGAAAAACTGCCATATATAATGCCATTTAGATATTTTTTAATATTATATCATAATTTTTTGTCAAACCATTGAAATTCTATGCAATCAATATTTTCAAGCTTAAAAGTACGACACATTGTGACAGTAATCCATTTGAATCAAGCGGTTTAATTGAAGTCTTCTTAAGAGACATGATCTTCTACAATAATTCACCTAAATGTTTGCTCACTCAATGTATTTGTGTTTTTACAATAAGGTAAATACGGTATGCCGATTTAAACTGAACGTCCACAAGTAGGGGTGTCATGGTTCTCTGTAAACAACCGTACCATTCTCCAGCCATGGCTTGGCACGTACTTGCACCGTGGTTCATTTAAAATCTGATGATGCATATGCATCTATAATATGGTTTGTTGAAAATAACGCGTAAAATAGACAGACATCGTTAGGCTAATGTCCGTTTCTGTCGATGGATACACATTCTGGCTTCCCCTATACTTTGATCAGTGTGAGTGCAGTTTGCTCTAATATAGTATCAGTCATTACGCCGTCATCACCCGGGTGTTGATAGCGCATGAGTGCAGGTGAGACCTGAACAGCACACGTTGCTATCTGTGTTTAAACTAAACTCTTTTAAGCCTTGCCAATTTAAATATTCAACCTCAAGAAGACGCGAAAGAACTCGCATGCTGTTAGAAGATTTGTGTGTTTACTCATCTGAGGCAGCGCAAGTACTGAGTCAGAACATTTTTTTAAACTGAGATCTTGAAGGATTTGCTATCCTGTGGCTCCCTCTAGTGGACAACATTAGTTTTATGGCCTTCATCTCTGAATTTGGCTGATCATTTTTTTTTTTGAATGACTACAAGTTTTTTAATGATTACTTTATTATCTGATAGAGATGCACCGATTCACCGGCCAGTGACCAGTTTCCCTCATGATCGGCCCAGACCGATCAGTCTCACTTCTTTCTGATTCCAAGCCGATCTGTTTTGTTGCCAACAGGCAATAATGTCAGCTGTGTGTTCTCGCTGTCTTATATCTGACCGTGACACACACCCGTCTCCTTATTTTAATCACTCACCTCATTCGCTCCGGTTCAATAGTGCTTGTATTTTAACAGTGAATTGGATCCGTTCATAAGCTCTACAGAAGTTCAATATTCCTTCTGCTGTCTGTCAAGTTAGTAAAAGAACAAAAGACAAGAGAATCACTCTCTGCTCTTGACTGAATAAGGTTTATAACTTTAATTGTAAGCATTATTCTGCATTTAATTTTTATAATGAATTTATCAAGTGTTGTTTTACATTAGATTAATTTCATTTCTGTAGTATTTATTGAATAGACCCACCTGAAAAACTAAAAGCCATGTTTATTTATCCCCCTTTTTTCTATTGCAATTCGCCTTTGCAAGTTGTTTATTTGTTCAAAATTGATTACTGACTTTGTTTTTTTTAATGAAAATAAAACGTTGCATTGAAAAAAGCAGATTTTTGTTTATAAATACTGTCAATTACAGTTCTTAGAAAGAAAATCGGAAAGAAATCGGTAGGTCACAATCGGAATGGCCAAGAAAATTGCAATGGTTGTATATCTACTGATAATATAGCTACCCACATTAAACTCAAATTCAATGATTATATTAGTACCTTGTTATTTCATGTTTTAACAGTTGAATTTTCAACTTCCATTTTTTAGCTAAGCAGTAATGATACTTGTTAATGGTTATTTACATTCAGTCCTCCTGCATAAGTGTGATTTAGTTTGTTACTGAGTGAGCCAGAGGTTATGCTGCTGCATGGAGATTGAACAGGTACTATATCTGTTTATTTACGGTTATAATTTACAAAGGTGTCTGTCGGTGTTTGTCTGTGGAGTATGAAATGGCCTTAAAAGTTCGTCAACTAACTATACAGTGCATATAACTGTGCGTTGGTGAGCGTTTTCTGTTAGAGAACTCCAGCCACATTCGCCATAGCATACTAACAAATCTTTCGGAAAGGAAATTTGGAAACATTCGCAAAATATGAAGGAAGTGTCATTCATACTTACTTGTGCTGGGTCTGAAGTTAGAGCACGAAGCGTTGGTAATGACCCTCTTTTCAGAGACAACTTTTTAGCAAATCCAGCATTGAACTGACCCTCGTTTGTGAAGCAGTCCGGCGTAAAATGATTTGCGCAAATAAATAATATTTTGACGACTTTCTCTGGCACATTCCCTTCATAAATGAAATGTATCCACTGCATCCTCAGTTTCTCAGATTCCGGGAGTTTATGGAGACTTTTATATTCGTTGGTGCACCCAAAAACAGAACATTTGTGATGCTTTTTTTGCACAGACATTGTTTATCTCCTGCTGCAAGAGCGTGGAAACAGAAAGGCGGTGGGAAGAGTGGGACCAGGGTTGACAGCTCCCAGAAACATTTTCTTCTTCTTTGAGGTTTTACGGCAGTAACGGCATCCACAGTGTTGCATTACTGCCACCTGCTGTCTCACTTTAACCAACTTAATTCGTCCTTCCAGCCCTCCTTGGTCATTATTTCCACATTCTACTGTACTTTTATGTCTTGTCTTCAACTCTTGCCTTTCTTGTTCATGCATGATATAAAGATGTGCTGGTAACACTTTACAATAAGGTTCATTAGTTTACATTAGTTAACTACCTTAGTAACATGAACTAAGAATAATGAACAATACTTATTCAGCATTTATTAATCTTAGTTAATATTAATTTCAACATTTACTTATAGCCTACGCTATTTAAATCAAAGGTTGTATTTGTTAACATTAGTTGCACTGTGAACGAATATGTATGAAAAGCTGTATTTTTATTAACTAACATTTACAAAGATTAATAAATACTGTAACAAATGTATTGCTCATTGTTAGTTCATGTTAGTAAATACATTAACTAATGTTAATTCATTAACCTTTATATTGTAAAGTTTTAGCTATGTGCTCAAGTGTTTTCCTACATGAAGAGTTTTGTTTAGCTTGCGATGTCCAATCCTCAGTCTACTTATTATGACTTGTTCCTTCCTATCATTTCACTTTTTACTTTCCATACCTATCATATTTTGTATCATCACAGATGGCTTTTTCTTTTGCGTGTAGATGCCGTTCGCCGGAGATGTGTTAAAAGATAGTGGTGTACACTAGGATTTTCATTTTAGGGGGGCTAAGCCCCCAATATGATTTTTAAAAAATATATATAAAAAGGTAACACTTTAGTTTAGGATCTAAAGATCACTATTAACCATTTTCATTACGATGCAAAAGCACGGTTTTATAATAACTGTGGTCCCAAAATGTGAGGTAGGGCAAATCAGGGGGTTCGGGGTCTCCCCAAGAAAATTTTGATTTCTCTGATCTACATATGTGCATTTTAAGATGTTCTGAAGGCCAAAAAACTTGGATAGTGGGCAGCTGATTATTTTTCACTCCTCATCAGCATCACACTCTTTTTCTCTTTGTTTTTATCTTGCCCTGTCTCTTCCCCTCCTAAAGCTAAGCTTTGACTGATATAGGCTTTTCATTTTTGTCTGTCAGTAAAGAAAGTAAACAGGGTCAACTGATAGGTTGATTTTGCCTATGAATCATTTTCTCAGACGCGTTTATTTACTGAAAACTACTAAAGGTAATTAAGTTTATTAAATGCATTCACAATATGTAGGCTACACATTTATTATTGATCTTATGCCTAATACAGGGCCGTAGACAGGGCTTTATAATCACAGAGGTCCTAAATTTGAGGTTGGTAGGGGGTTCAAATTTTTTATTTCTCTGGTATGTGCATTTCAAGACGTTTGAAGACCAAAAAAGGATAAGATATAGCTTTAAAACCATGTCAGTGGGCAGATTATTTGTCAATACCTGCTCTCTTCTCATCTCCATCACTCTTTCTTTTTTTCTCAGTCTCTTCATCCCTTTCTCTTCCCCTCCTAAAGCTGAGCTTTTTTAATTTACTAAAGGCTACAATTTGTATTATATCCTCAATATGTACACATTCATTATTAATCTTGTGCCTAACATGATGAAAACGGCTTTGTTAATGTTTCTTGTAAACTAATTATTACATTACATGAGCCACGTTACATAGGCCTATTTTCAGTTCAAAATGGCGAAATTAGACAAAACTATATTAGTTTGCCTGATTATTTTTTGTCATTCGTTTAACATTTATGACCTAAAAAAAGTAAAATATGTAAAATATGAAATGTTAAGTTTAGCTACTTACATCTTATCTCGCACTTGACCGTACGCGTCGAGTCGCACTGTTAAAATTTGCGCTCAGCAGCGTCTGTGAACATAAAGCCCGCCTACTTTGATTTGATTGGTCATCTCAAATATTCTGACATTGACGAGCAGTGACAGACCAATGAGGCTCATATGAACACACACACAGACACACACACACACCCTGTCCTCTGTTTCTGACGTGCTCTCTGCTCGGCGCCGCTGCGGATTGAAGATGAAGAACGCGCAGAATCTGATTATAACAAGACTGAAGCGAACACGAATTTGTGTAGCCTACATTAATCTCACATTTTTAGGGGGGCTAGGCTGAAGTTTAGGGGGGCTGAAGCCCCCGTAAAAAGGGCCTAGCAACGCCCCTGGCGGTGTGCATTCATGAGTATTAGCCTGCCGGTATAATATAGAGTAATAATAAATAAGTAAATAAATGAATGAAAAGGAGCAGGGCAGCGGGCCAAATCAGTCGCCGTACATGTAGAGGCACCCCCCCCCCCCCCTGAATCTTGCGACCAAATGCAACAGCTACCATTATGTTGGCTTGGTTGAGAGCCTTGAGTGCAATGAAGTTAATGCAAGATTCCTCAGAAGAATCCGAGGGAGCACTGGCAAAGACAAAACCACCTTTGCATTCAAAGAAAATGATGTGGGATCTGTCCCACTGAATGATGTGCCGAAGAAGCTTCCTAAACCTCAAAATGTTGGAGGAACTGCAACCTTGATGGATGGAATATCCAATAGTCATTTTCACTGTGCTGAGGTCTGGAAGTTCAAACTGTTTTTTTGTTCTCACAAGTTCAAAACTGTGAAACTGTTTAACAAAATTGGAAATTAGAACTAAAGACCTTAGGCTTGACACTGAAAGCGAGTCAAGTTCAACACCTCCTGATGGTGAAGTGGAAGACCTTTTTGTTTTTACCGAAGATGTTGAGGTCTCTGGCAAGTCTACACACAGCAAAGCTGAACTGGAGACATTGCACTTCCTAGAAGATCGGAGGAAGGATTTGGACATCTTGAACCAGTATCCACTTATTAGACAGCTGTTTGTGAGGTTCAACACAATCATTCCCTCTTCAGCTCCTGTAGAGCGCTTGTTTTCCTTTGCGGTTTTAATCAATAGGCCACACTTAACCCAATCTTTTTGAAAAGCTGGTGGTGCTAAAGGGTATCGAATAGATGTATGTCTGAAACACACAGGTACACCACCTCGAGGAGTACACCATCAGTTACAGGGACGTACAGAGAGTTCCTCAGGGGCAGGGGCTCAAATGTAAAAAAGGGGCATATATACACTACCGTTCAAAAGTTTGGGGTCGGTACGATTTTAAATACTTTTAAAAGAATTCTCTTCTGCTAACCATGGCTGCGCTTATTTGATTAAAAATACAACAAAAATCAGTTATAGTATTAAATATTATTCCAGTGTAAATCAGCTGTTTTCTGTGTGAATATATAGTAAAGTGTAATTTATTCCTGTGATCAAAGCTGAATTTTCAGCATCACCAGTGTCAGGGTCTTCAGTGTCAAATGATCCTTCACAAATCAGTATAATATGAGGATTTGATGCTCAAGAAACATTTATTATTATTATCAATGTTGAAACAGTTGTTGGTCTGTCAGTTGTACAGTTTTTTTTTTGTTTGTTTTTTAGGATTCTTTGATGAATAGGAAGTTCAAAAGACTTTTGTAACATTATAAATATCTTTACTCCTTGCAATTATTCCTTGATAAATAAAAGTATTGATTTCTTTCCTCCAAAAAATAAAAATAAAATTCTCACTGACCCCAAACTTTTGAACGGTAGTGTATATATATATTTGCTTTGCATCACATACATGAATTATATCAAAAAGTATATTAAAATAGAAAACCATTATTTTAAATTGTAATAATTTTTTTCTGTATTTTTGATCAAATAAATGCAGGCTTGATGCACATAAGGGACTTCTTTAAAAAAAAAAGTAATGTGTGTGCAAATTTTTGACCAGTAGTACTGTACTATTATACTATTGCTGCAAAATTATCAAAAATGTTAATTAAAATAATAAAGTCACCATTTCGTGTGTTGTTGTCAGCCAACACTTCACATAATAGGCCTGTAAGCCTGGGCTTCATTTAACAAACTATGATAGTTTCATCAAATGGTAAACGGTGTATCAATATAGCCTAATAAAAGTGACTTGAATATTATACTTACCATTAATGCTACTTTTGGTGCTGGTTTTGTGCAGTGCTTTGTAGTCAATTAACATCTATTAGTTCAACGACACAGATTCAGATTCAGATCGCTTCATAAATGTAAATTTGTCTGTCCATGTAATTTTAAAATGATTTATTCATAAATGACCGGAAAATTATGCTCCACTTCACATTGTCCAATGAAATTTGAACTACTTGTGCCAGATGACGATTGGTCGGTGTGTTATACATGGGAAACAGGCTTCAATTAATTATGTAATATTTTAAAATATGTGATGTGGATTTTTAATTGAATCGACACACAACCTTTTATTATTGAGAAGAAAAAAAAGTTGAAAAATTGTTTGGTTTATTTTGTTTCCTGCTGTCGAGCCATTATACTTATATTACTGAAAGAACCATATTTGGCTCGAGAGTATCGGTTCCCGAGCAGACTGTGGGATACCTATGTTTACACTAGTGCATTTTAATTTTAAAACGCATAGCTTTTGCTACGGTTATGTCTGCCGTCCACACACACACACACACACACATACTACTCCGGAGTTTTAGACCCTCAAAAGCAAAAGTTTAGAATATGAGACCATAAAGTTGGCAGTCCTACGTGGTTATGGACTCGTTCCCAAGCCTATAGACAGCGATTCAGAAATCACAAGAAAAGCAGTAGTCAAACATTTGTATAATTCGCGCCCAAAAAAAGCATATTATTTGATAAGTGGTGTGCCATTTAGACCTTGGACTTTGTCAAGTAAATGATTTCAGTTCTTTGAGGGAATTGTTGCTACTAGAGGAATTTAAATCATGTTTGTCTGAGAGAGTCGTAGTTTATTTGAATGAACAGAAGGTGTCCTCTGTGTCACAAGCAGCCATGCTATCTGATGAGTTTGTGCTAACGCACAAGAGTGTATTTGCATCTGCGCACACTGAAAAGAGTTTGTCTAGCGCACCTCCTC